GGCGAGTGTACAAGAGCCTTAAAGTAGTTGGATGAATAGAAATAAGTTATCAGTGAAGTTTGACTTCCACTTAAATCCCTCTCGACCTGCAGGTTTAAGTAACATTGCAGTGGTGGCTTCATTTCACTAAGTACAGAGAGAGAAGACGTTTTATTGAGTTTAACCATGTGTCATACCCAATTCTTGATAGTACATACAAGACCAGTATTCTTAAGGTCAAGGTCTTGTGTCTGAAGCTCTCTTATAAAATCCCATAACTATGCGTTATCTTTTCCTCTGGCCAAAACTCAGCACAACCATCTGATTATGCAATACCTCAAAGCCACATTCAAAATTCCTGAATTGCATTCCTCCTGAACTCATTGTTCATTTGAAACAACTTTAGAATGACAATCAAACCTACATCTTTGTAGGAAGGCATGTCAAATATTTACAGCTTCACTTCATTATTATCCACATAGAGAAATACACAAAACGAGTCTGCTGTGGTTAAAGAATCATTTTGCTGAGTAACAGTTGAGCTGTGGCCTACAGTGGACAGTAACAGTGTTTTTCTTTATTGCAGGGTTCCCGCTGGACACTTCAAGCCACGAGGATGAACATGGCTTTTGTAAGAGTTTCTTAACAATGTGGTCAAAATGTGAAAAAGCTGATAACATCTTTTATTGCACTCTGATATCAGTGGGTGGCATTCAGAATTCATCTGATTGTACACACTGTCTTGTAAAACACACATTCCCTTTGTTAGGGTGTAGTTGTAATTTGTCTATTCCAGTAAATTATAGTTTATAGCCCTGATAAATCACACACTCACTCATCAGGTTAAAGTGAAGTGCTGAAGTTTATTGGCAAGTTCAAACCCTGCTTCTCCTGTCAGATTTATGAAGTTAAAGATTAAATGACTGCCCTGTTAAGCTGAAATCATCTTGTTTTATTACAGGGAGATTCCTTCACTATTAAGCCGGACCAAATGCAGGTATATGTGCAGTTCCCGCCCACTCGCAGTGAAATAAGCTATAATGATGACAGGGTGTTCTGATTTAAGAAATATTAGAAAAGGTAAATAAGGAACACTGTGATGCAGTAATAATGAACTAATGAACTTGTTATTTTCTGTATCTGCACACATTAGAGAGCATGGCCACTTGCCAAATGAATAAGGACAACAGTGTTTAAATGATCAGCCATTTTCTATCCTCCTGTTTGTGCATGGATGTAACAAACACAGAACAGCATCTTAATGTACTGTTCATTAAACCTCTCCCCTACTGTCCAATCATATCTGAGCAACCGTGGCTATAGCAGGTCTGTCACTCTTTGGATTTCTCCACATGCCACAATGGTGTGCATGGATGCAATAAGGTTCATATTCCACATTTAAAGAGTTTAAAGGGTGAACTGCTTTTTCCCTTTCCAAAATAACCAAAATGCAAAATTCAAAAGTGTTGGTATGCTCTTATGTAAGCAGTAATTGTTAACATGCCCAGCTAACTAGTCATTTCCCTTTCCCCAGTGTGGGAAATCAATATCAGCACAGTCAAACAGTTCCATTAATTTGAGGGTACATTCACATCAGACGATCAGTATTGGGACTGTAGACCTTTTTGTACATGGTCCTGTTCATTTCACTGTTTGGCCATAAAAAGTTCATGGTTGTCTAGTCCTGTTTAGGATCATCTACAAGTATTGAAATGAACACCTGAAACACACTTAAAGCTAAACGTCAGCACTCAATAATAATCATTGATCTGTTTTGATTTCTGTGTACTGAAGTAGACTGCTGTCTATATTCGACATACGCTCTCAGCCATCTGGAAACATGTATTTTTCATGTGAAAACAAAAAAAAAAACACAGACCAGTGTGCCACATCTGTACAACTCAAGTAAAGCATTAAAGATGACTAATGTTTGACATGAAAACACTTTTACAGCTCTTAATCACTCCCATCTTGCCATCTCTTTACTGGCTATATTAAATCAGAATAAGTCCTTTTATTCGTGTATAACTCTAACCTTTATGATTTTATGAGTTTTAGTGAGCTTTTATAGAGTCATTTAATGGCCAGTTTTTCCCTCCCTGTTTCAGATGTTGAATGCGCTGATGATTCTTCTCTTCGTGCCCATCTTTGACCTCATCGTATATCCGCTCGTTGGCCTTTGCAGAATCAACATCACGTGAGTAGAAGCCTGTTGTTTTGGATACTCCCATCTTTATTGCAGACATAAACATTTAAGAAGTCTCTTAAACTGGGAAAATGAGCCATGTGACCTCACATTTGTATCACCTCGGGACAATGAATAGTTAACGAATGAAGGAAAGGTCTGTGCGCACATATGCAGACATACTGTACATTTACAAATTTAAATCTGATGAGTGGGATTTTAATGTGTGTAGAGCACTCAGCGGTTGTCTTTATTATCCAGAAATTGTAACGGCGCATTGCAAAACACAAAATTTGCTTTGTATAATAAATACATCACATTTCTATTTCCAAAAGTACAAATGCTCTCTATTATAATTACTGATTATATTAATGCTTTTCAGAGAATGGCTCAGGTTATAAAGGTAACATTTGCAACAGATGGCATTACGTCAAAACAAGTGATGAGGCGGCCTCTTATCAGGCGAGAGATCAGTGAGGACACTGATGTGGAAATCACCGTTCAGATTTATAAAGTGATAAAGCTTGACTTTCAGAGCGGTAAACACAGTAATGAAACTGTCACTTACTCTCCCTGCCCTCAGGCCTCTCAGGAAAATGGCCGCAGGGATGGTTTTTGCAGCGCTGGCCTTCGGAGCGGCCACACTGGTGGAGGTGAACGTTGTGGTATGTATGAGCAGCCATTGTCTATCTTCACTCCTGTTACAGAATTAAAGAGACCCTCACCGAAAACCTTTATTCACTTACACACATAGGATTACTTGCGTGTACACAGACTGCTACCTAAATAAAACCAGAGCTGCCATGCATCCTGGAAAACCTGGAATTGTTCAATGGAAGAAAACGATCTCCTGGAAAACACTGAACTGTCTTACAGATAGGTTGTTATATAAACAAGAATTAATTTCTGCATAAAGAAATGCAATAATAAGATGACAGCTGAAATTAGAGCGGTCTTCACAAGGCACATTTAAAATCATCTGCCCACATGTGTCCTACTTGTTCTAAAGCTTGTGTGCCAGAATGGAAACTTCATGGTATAATCATCTTGGCCAGATTTGTTACAATATTATTTTGTCAAGAAAATATACAGTTATCCTTGGACTGAACAATAAATTGTGAGCTTGGACATCGTGGTCTAATTTGCTAAAAAATGTTGTTTTCCATCTTTTGTTGTATTTTAATCCCATTATAATCCCCTGAGCATATCTGAAAAAGTGAGAGCTCAGTGAACCATAAAAATAACATATTTAAGCACATGTCTGAATTTTCAGAGACTGTGTTCTCTGAAATGTATCAGTATGGGGGTGCTGTGCTCTAATTTCCTTCACTGTCTGCTAGAAAACAGTGGTGGATCCTGCACCTGCGGGGAACTGTCTCCTGCAGGTCTTTAACCTGGCAGGAGGGGACGTCAGTCTGCAGATCCCCGGCAGCAACCCATTTCCAGAACCGATCAAATACCTTCAGGTAACTTTCTTCTAATACTGAGTGATGTACTATATGTCATTCTCTCTTTTTATCACGTTTTTCAAACAGTGGAGATTTTGGAAAGAAGCTTAACATTAACCCCCTGGTGTCTCTGTCAGGACCCTCCGAAATATGAGATGCTTCCACTGGGGGCGCCCAGCAAGATGCTGAAGATTGAAGTCACTTTGAATGGAGCAACCTCAGAGTGTCAACACATATTTAACCAACAGAATTCCTACAGTCTCATCGTATTCTCTGAAACTACTGGAGTCCAGTGCAAACTTGTGAGTGCCTCTGAAGATGGGTTTAGTCTTTCAATATCATTAAATATTCATGACTGAATAAGAGATAACAGTCAAAGTTTTGAAAAGAACTTTCTTGGGTATTACTTATTACGAGTTTACAACTCAAATACTAGATAAATCATCTGTGCAAGGGTCCAACTGTGCATCTTACATCTGGGGACCCCAGGCCTGTGAGCCAATGGGAAGAATGTAAGGTCTAAATTTAAGCTTAATTTAATTAATTTTGCTCAGCAGAAGAGGGTAACAGTATCTTCTGTGTAAAAAAAAAATCTTATAAGAATAATAAAAATTCAGGAAAGCCACACAAAGAGAAAGAGAAGAGAAATGTACTGGGCAGATGTAACTTTATCTTCTATTTAGTATAAAGATGTTTGTAACATTTTAACATTAGCATGATGTGGGGTTTTTTTGCCTAACAAGGCAAATTTAACAAGTTAACACTACTTAAAAGTCTTACACAGAGAAACGTGACTTTTTTCAAATTTGGTATACCATCAACCCCACAACTGGGGGTTAAATGTTGGTGAATCCTGATTGGTGGAAACCAGTGACTAAAGAACACACAAACACAAATACAGATTTATGTCATGTGAATTGTGTGTTTTTTAATTATCCAGGTGGGCGACTACATAAAGAAAAATGAAGATGGAAATCCTCTCCTGAGGTAAGATATGTTCAACCTCAGAGGTTATGACTCATATACTTACAAACCAAACATTTTAAACTCATTCGTTCTGTGCTGCTGTAAAAATTGAGGTCAACTTAGCTAACTTGAATAATCAGTTATGTCTGCTCATGAGTTATTCTAATTCTAATTTAACAGGTTCCTCAACACACTGCCAGAAGCAATAAACCTGACTGTGGGAGATGTGACTTTCCACGTGCCCTCTGGTGACATGTCTCCTAACAAGACTGTGGATCGGGGAGAGTGAGTAGGACAGATGTCTAAATCAGTATAAACGAAATCCTGAAGCCTGTCCTGTCTAGCCGAGCCGCCGTTGGGTCGCTTGTTGTGGTGAACACACAGAGAATTATCACCCGACTCTCTACAGCTCTACACACTGATGTAACATTCGAGTTCGGTCTCGGACTCAAACGTTTGTTCTGTTGCCTCAGACATGGCTATTGGCTATATTGGTTATATATATTTTTTTTTAAACAATAGGATTAGTTCTCCAACTGTCAATCACCTAATGTTGTTAATGCAGAAAATGAAGAAAAGACTTTTACCTTGGGGACAAATGATGCCTAAAATAACTCCTCCCACTTAACCACTCTTGTGACCCTTATTTTGCCTGAACTGAAAAATGAGTTCAATTTTATGTATGAATGATATTTTTAATTTTTTAAATTCAACTTGTACATAGCTAGTCAAATCACAATGTGCTTTTTATTCTTCTCTCATTTATCTCATCCTTCATGTACCTCCTGCCTCCGGGTAGATACGCAGAAGTCAGCTGCAGCCTAGAGTCAAAAGAGTGCTCCAACTTTAACCTTGGACTGCTGGACTTCGGAGCCTCCTACACTGTCTTACTCATGGAGGTCAGGATGCTTACTATACAAGCTTGATATGCAGATCTCACCAGTTGCACAGCGTGACAGAACCCTCTGTGTGTGTGTGTGTGTGTATTCAGGAATTCAGTAATGTTAGGGCTCACAAGATGGAGGATGTGAAAGCCAACAACGTGCACATCGCCTGGCAGATCCCCCAGTATGTCCTCATAACAACTGGAGAGGTCATGTTCTCCATCACAGGCCTGGAGTTCTCCTACTCACAGGTTGGCCATGATACACACCGTCTATCAGTTGGGAAATAACTCTGTATTCTCTATATTCCTAATGCTCCACTGAAAACCTTTGAGTAATCAAACACTCATTACCGTTGTACCACTGTACAAATCAGAACATTTTAGGAAAACTGATACTTTTTGGAAAACATTACATCTTCAGCGGTGACTTAAGACTTCATCAGTGTCAAACCAATAAAAAAAGTAATCTAGAAATGTTCCAACAACCCTGCCTTGCTGCCTGTTCTGTGAAATTAAACAGCTTTTCTCTCCATAACTTTTAGCCCATTGGTTTACCCTTCAGTCTGTTGTTTGTCTGATGTCACACACTCAACATTTTTTAGGATTAGGAAGTAATGATCCCATTTCATGGAACCTTTAAATATTTGTCTGAACCCAGCACTGCTTTGTTTTGTGCTTTCTTTATCAACTGCGGACCTCTCTCTGCCCTCTAGGCTCCAGCCAACATGAAGTCCGTCCTGCAGGCCGGCTGGCTGCTCACTGTTGCGTTTGGGAACGTGATAGTGCTGATTGTGGCAGAGGGGGCGGGACTGGAACAGGTACAACTTCATGGGATTTTGTGGGAGACATCAAAGCTTATAGACATATATATGAAATTCACTGCTAATAGATGTCGCACTAGAGCACAGCAAGATCCCTCACAGTTCTTGCGTGAAAGCCTGCCTTCCTTCTTCTCTCATCTCTACCATCATCGCATTCTCACCTCCGTCACTGGAAATTGTTCCTACACTACCTTCCAAATACTGCTGCCATCTCTCCAATCATTGAAAAAAGCCTGGTGGCCTGACCCATAATAATTAATAATATCTTCGTCCCACTCTCCAATCTAGACTTTTCCTCTCCAAAAATCCTTGAAAAAACCTGTTTGCTTCCCAATTCATTCATCTAACCCTTAACAACCTGTATGACAATTCCAGTCCTGGTTTCCGCCCCCTCATTAGCACTGAATTGCATTAATCAAAATCACAAACACTCCTCGGCTGCCAGCCGAGCTTGGTTTCACTCACTATCTCTCATCCTCCCTTGATCTAAAGTGCAGCCTCTCGACACCATTCCCACACTATCCTTCAACAGACCTAATGCTCATTGGCTATTTCACGCGACGCAGCCTCTGACTGGTTTAATCCTACCTCTCAGCGCGCACACGTTATCCAACTCCAATCCTTCAGTTCCACCCGTCGCCAGTCACCATGTGTGCCAGGGTCGTCTGGGGCCTTCTCTGTTCATCATCTACCCGTCCTTCCCCTTGGCAATATTTTCGCCAAATACAACATGCCACTTTCATCTGCCTACGCGGAATGACACCCAGCTCTACGCTCTCCACAAACGCAATTCCACTCTCCACCCTTGCTTTTCCTCACTGAACTGGCTTCCACTGAACTCAAATCCTGGTTCCCTTGCCAACTTTCTCAAAACTCAACCGTGATCAAACCACAGAACTACTCCTTACTTGGCCTAAATCACCCCTTTCCAACAAGCTGACCCAGTTTTTCCCTCAGGGCCAAACCCTTGCACTCTCTGTTCCCTTCCCCCCGCAGGTTTAAGAAAGTCTGGGTGTCATGCCTTGAACAGCACTTTAATCTTTCCAATGCCCATAATCAATAACATCCCCGCCGTCTGCGACTCATTCTCCATACGCATATTAATCGCTCGCGCTCTCTTCTCATACTGCCATTCTTGTACACAGCGCTTTCACCGTCGCTCCCGATCGACTCATGCCAACTCTTCTCTTTCGGCTCTACCCGACAAATAACTCCATCCAATTCAACTGGTTCAGCACGCTGCAGTCGAATCATCTCAAGAACGCCCTCCATCCACCACACACCCTGTTCTGGCACGCAACTCCACTGGCCTCCCTTACTCCAGCCATTGACCTACAAAAATTCTCCTGTTTACGTTCAAGGCCATCCATACAGCCTTTCTCCTTATTGTAAACTCCTCAATTGCCCCCTTCCGTTTCCCGTCAAGATCTCGCCTCCCTTGTCCACCTCCTCGTGCCTCCCCCCTCCCGCCCGCCCTTCGTCACCATGGGGAGCAGGGCTTTCAGCTGCTCTGCCCCCCGACTCTTTGGAAACTCCATCCCCCACCCGGACCTCAGGAACCTGGACTCTCTCACACTCTTCAAATCAAGACTAAAAACTTCACCTTTTCAGAATTGCATACCCCCACTTAACTGTATACATTGTCTTTTCTTATCTGTTTCTTGTTTCTTATGTTATTATTTTTTGTTGTA